AGCTGTCTTCGGACAGCCCACCCGTTTGAACTAATAAAGTGCCAGGGGCCTAAGTGGTCACCTCAATATTAAAAAAATAAAAATAAAAAATAACAAAGACAGAAGTGAATTCTTTGAGGGATGGAGTCCATCCTGGGATGAAGAATCAATAAATATACTTGGTGGAGACTTTAATGTTAATATAGATCCTAAGACAAACCATGTCAGTCAAGCTATGGTACAATCAGATTCAACATGCTTACAACTTAAAAATCTTACAAATAAATTCATCAACTCAGCAACTCTTGAAGAGGGTAACCCCTTCTTGATATTTTTTCAGAATACATGAAATAATCAAACTATGGCAACTAGACTGGATTATATTTTCATCAATGAAAACTTTGTTTTACTAGTGGAAAAAACAGAAACCTTATTTGGCAATTCAGACCACCTATTAGTTAAATGTACCTTAAATCTGAGCGATAAGTTTGCATTCAATCAATCATAAGGGTCTTCAGAAAACCCAGAGCCCCAGAGAGTAGCTTGGCTCTATTGAATAGAAAGATGACCAAATTAGTGTTTCAAACTGTTAAAATTTTACCAACTAGTTAGTTAGTTGCTGACTATAGTTGGCAACTAACCGGTTATATAACTAGTTAACGGAAACCGTTGTAAGCCTGGAGCAAAAATCACATATGCTAGATTAATAATTTGCTTAAAATAAATCTAATTTTGGTTTATTTTAGTTTTTGAACCAGGTATTGTCTAATTTTGGGTTTAAATAAATCTAATTTTGGGTTAGTTTTGTTCAAAGGAACCTATTTACCAAAATTAAATTTGTGTAACATTATACGACATTAGTTTTGTATGACCAAAAATTATTTTTGCGAAAACAATACACTGAGCTTTTGTGTAACATACTTGCATATTTTGCCCAATCATATTATAGTAAAAAATATATATATAGTTTGTCATATTACACAATATGCAAGTGAAGACAGACAGAAATTTCAAAGTTACCTTTTTGATGTTTTTATTATTATAAATATATCAGAAACAATACTTTTAAGACATCAAAAAGGTAACTTTTGTATCACTTTACCTAGAAATTAAGAGTTCTTCGCTACGCTCTGAACAATTACGTAACTAATTTAACCAGTTAGTTGGTTAGTTGATTAGTTGGTTAAGTTGGTTAGTTGGTTGATTGGTTGGTTGATTGGTTATTGTATAAGATAGCTGCATAGCATGTGATACCACGAAGGACCAGTATAATCATACGATTTTATTTATTTTTGCAAGTGATACAAAACCCAAAAAAGAAAATCACATTTGTAAATAAACTAAGTTTAGGATTAGGATATTAGCGTTAGCATTAGAGGGTTGTGAGTTTTAGTAATAATGTGTTTTTTATATGTAAAATTTCATTCCCGTTATTTTTTATTAGTCTAACAAGGATGATTTAAACACTAGTTTTTGAGTATTTTCTCTTTTTTGCTTTGCTTATGTGTTGGGCTGATCCGGGATCATCACATTTTACATTCTCCGATTGGCTAATTTCTTGTATCACTTGCACAAATAAGTATATGCTAATCATACATGCTTATATGGGCGGAAATCTTCAATTTGTGATTATTTAATTGATGATCCTCCAGTCAACTGAAGAATGATTATAGTAAAATATGACTCAGATTACTATATAAATTTACTATA